CCCTCCCTCCCTCCCTCCCTCCCTCCCTCTCTCTCTCTCTCTCTCTCTCTGTCCCCTGTCCTGCAAATACAATGATGGGCATAATAGTGGGTCAAAGTATGGGTGGGGAAAAGCTGTTATACTTTTTGGGAAGGACAGTACTCGTTCTGCCTGGAAATGCCCATTCATGCCCATTCATATGAAACATATTTAATGCAATCAAAAGGCAATAAAATAGTTAAAACCCTGCTCTTTTTCCAGTAACTTCTTTGCCTGTACATGGTGGTGTTTGGCTTGGTGAAATTCTCTTATCTGTCCAATGATTGGTCATTCTGAGCTCCCATTCAAACCTTCTAATTAGTTTTATAAAAGACCACTTTCTTCCCTGGACATTTAATTATATGAGAATATTTTTATTGCATTTGAGGAATATTTCAATACCATCTGTAGCCTTTTGGTTTTTTCTGCCCCTTTCTATGAATATTTCTTATTATAGCAATGAAAACGTGACAAGATTTGTGGCTGCAAGTCCTTTTACTTCCAGGCTTTCAATCCAATAACATTTACATTTTGCAAAATTTCAAATTTCTAATATAAAGATTTATGTTTTGTCCATGCATTTTTAAGTCCTAAATTATCATGATTTATGAAGCGGTTCTAGTAGTTACATGAATTCCATTAAAATTATTCATTCAGCTTAACTGCACTGCTTGTTCGCGGGAGGTAATTTTACTGAACGCCAATGATCTTTTGCTCATGAACACAGAATTACACTGCACTAAATTGTTCCCTTTTCCTACTACGCTTCAGAATTGAAAGGATACACAGCTCCATCTAGCAAAGACAAATAAAATTAACTTTTTGTGTGTTTGTTTGTTTATTTGTTTGTGTGTTTGTTTAACTTGCCTAGAATACTTTCTAGTGGCTTACTTCAAAAGATGCATGGATTGTTTTATCTTACTTAAAAATTACAGCAAATCTTTACTGTTGGTGAGCATATTGTATTTTGCTAAATTCATACTTTGCATGTATGACATTGTTCGTTTGTTTGTTTATTGAGAGATACTTGAGAGACCGCCTGCTGCCAATTACCTCCAACAGACCGATTAGATCCCACAGATTAGGCCTCCTCCGAATTCCATCTACCGGCCAATGCCGATTGGCTACCACCCGGAGGAGGGCCTTTTCTGTGGCTGCTCCGGCCCTCTGGAACGAGCTCCCCGTGGAGATTCGGACCCTCACCAACCTCCAGGCTTTCCGCAAAGCCTTAGAAACCTGGCTGTTCCAACAGGCCTGGGGCTGATGAGTTCCTGTCCCTGCTCGAATGGTGTAGCTGTTGATTGTTTTTTAAATTGTGGTGTTGTGTTGTCTGTTGTCTTTCTTTTTTTCCGTTTGTACCCCCCCCCCCCTGACTTGGTTTGTGAGCCGCCCTGAGTCCCTCTGGGAATAGGGCTGCATAGAAATACAATAAAATCAAAAATCGAAATCGAAATATTGGATTTATATGCCCGCCCTTCTCCCAAAGGACTCAGGGCGGCATACAGCATTAAAAATATATATATTACAAAAGTTGAAAAGGAAATTAAATGAAGTATCCAGAAACAAACCCAATTAATATTAACAATACAATTTTAAAAATTAGATTAAAATTAACAATTGAATTAATCATTTCTTTTATTCTGTTCAAGCCAGGCCGGCTTGCTGGAAAATCCAACTTTTTAGGGCACGTCGGAAGGACCGGAGGACATTGAAGTAATAGATCATGGGTAAGCCATTGGGGGGCAGGGGAGACTGAGAATATTTGAGAGACTGGTATGGGTTTCCTGACAAAATGGCTACAATGATGGGTGTAACAAGTCACAAACATCATTGACTTGAAGGAGGAAGGGCAAAATCATTTCCTCCATGATGTTCTCTATGATCTGCTCAGTTTATCTTGGTCTTTGGGGGATGTCAGTTGAAACTCAAGTAAAAGCAGGAGGGAGCATGAAGGAGCACCCATCTATTTATTTTATTTTATTTTATTTATTAGTTTTTCAAACATTTACAAGATGGCAAGTATAAGTATGAACATGAACAAAGGATATAAATACAAATAAATGGGGATAGTAGGACAGGAACGGAAGGCACGCTGGTGCACTTATGCCCACCCCCTTTACGGACCTCTTAGGAATGGGGTGAGGTACACACAGAGGTGGGTTCCTACCAGTTCACACCTATTCGCTAGAACCGGTTCATCAAATCTACCGAACCGGTTAAAAGAGGTTCCACCAGTGGACCCGGAAAGCAGGCCACACCTACAGAAGAGNCGGGTAGTCGCCAGTCGGCATTGGCCGGTGGATGGAATTCGGAGGAGGCCTAATCTGTGGGATCTAATCGGTCTATTGGAGGTAATTGGCCTCTACAACAGTAAGTATTCAGCCATAGTTGAAGAGCACAAAAACATGATGAGAACAAGGCAATATTATCTTGGAAAAACTAAATGGAGGGAAGTGTCTCTTCTCAAATCATCCATAAAGTCAACGAAGCATCTTCCTCAATCCTGTACCCCCATATGTATTAATCTTCAACTCTGACAATGCCCAGGGAAGGTATAGATAATAATATATTTTGATTTTTCAACCCTGGTTTTAAACCTATTGGTTGTTTTTTTTGGAAGAATCCAAAGACTGCTGAATGAAAAAGATCAAGCCAAAACTTAAAAACTCCTTGAATTAATCGGTCCATTTTTATATACTTGCCAAGAGAAATCAATATGCATCTCACAAGAAGAAAAGTTACCTTTTAAGGATTCATCAAGCAACGTCTGAAACAGAATCTCTTCGTAGACATTCTCAACTTGTATCAAACTGTTATATTCATTAAAGATGTACTGTTCATATTCCTGAAGCATCTACAGTACAAGATATAATTTAAAGTAATAATGGCTAATTGGAAAATAACACATTTACCGAAAAAAAATAAAACAAACTGTAATTACAAGTGAGGTTTATTAGAATATCTGAGAGTGAAGGGGTCTTAATTGATCTCTGCAACGAAATGAATTTCCCTGGGAACTGCCACAAGTAAAATCCTCAGGCATGGAAAGACAATGTGGTTTGCAAAAAATATTATGAGTACAGAATATCGGCACATATTTACTAAGAAAACAGATAGATTTCTTCATTCTTTTGCCAATCACTCTTTGATGCACCAGGAATGTGGCTATCAATTTTCCAAATGGGTAAAATATCTTTTCTAATATATCTATACCGATTAAAAAAATCATGTAGCCTTTTGCAAACTGCCCTCCTCTTTCTCAAGCTCCGAAAACCCATTCCGAGAAGATGCCACAAATACTATGTACATGTTCATATGTCTTTCCATCTGTTTTTAAAATATCTCACTCTTACATATATGTATCTGTTTCTTAACAGAATGTCCATAAGAAGAACTGCGTGAATTAGTTTTTCGAGGAAACATAACACACGCTTTTTTAGACAGAGGATTATATAAGTTCTAACTCATTTTTATAGGTATAATATGCAAAGGCTTCTTTGCAACATCTTATCATTTTGCCCAAAGTAACTTTTAATTATCTTTTCATATTTCAGAAGAATACAGATCCTCTCCAAGGTCCCCTTCAATTCTTATATTTTATGATTTGTTCTAACATGAGGAACTAACTGTATCTTGCGCCCAATATATTCCTTTGGCTTTCAAGGAAAAAAGAAAAGAAAAGACTAGCTTTTTTACAACAACCTTGGAGTTTTAGGAAGAGAGATAGGTTTAAGAAAAAACTTGTCACACGTAATCTAGATCACTGAAAATCCACAGGATTTAAATTAACCATAAATCCTACAGATTAGCCCTAAGAACAACTAAGGCCAACTCCAACTCACTGTTGCTGTCTTGTCTCTATCATTTCATTTTGACAGACTTTAAAACTAAAGAACTATTGTCTGCTGACATTATTAGCATTTTAGTTTTGATTTGCAAATACCTTTGAGTCATATATGTCAGTATATTAACCTACCGGTTTACACGTTGAAGCCAATGTCCGCTGAAGTGTGGGCAGAGTGACTTGGATCAATATATCCTGAAATATCCTCTTCCGGATAGTACTGCTATCATAATCATATTGCTGCCATATAAGTTGCGTAAAAAGAAGAATCCGGTATGAGATTTCGGAAACACCTACTTCCCAACTTCCTCCCCTGCTAATGTACACTAAAATCAAGCGTGGCACGACAAAACCACGGTCCACTAAAGCGCGCCCGATTAAAGCGCGTCACTGACGTCATCAGCAGCGCGACAACAGTGACCGCGGAGAAAAAAGGGCCTTTAAAAAGCGCTTTTAAAGCAAGCTGATTCACGTAAAGGTAAGGGTTAGGTTAAGGGTTAGGGTTAGGTTAAGGGTTAGGGTTAGGTTAAGCGTTAGGGTTA